CCAGGAGCATGGCTCCCGACATTGCCTTTCTGGGCTTTATGCTGTCAATGCCCAGGTCTTCCAGTTTGATCTGGGACCTAATGTATCGCATCCCCTCTCCTGCTTCTCCATTGGGGAATACGATCGCGACTGCCGCAGATCTAGGTGCTCGCCTTGGTTTGGGGGTTTTCTTTTTCCCCCCTTCCCTTGCGTCTCCTTTGCCCTTGAGCTGCGTTGTGGGCTGTGCTGTGGGCTGCGTCTTGACTGTTTGCCCTCCCTTGATGTTTTGGGAGGGTTTATCACTCAGCGTCGCCTTCTTATTTGCCGGTGCTACAGTTGTTTTTGCCGGCTTTTTGATCTTTCCTCCTTTGGCTACTTCAGCCCAGGATGTGCTCGGCTTGGGCACTGGTGCGCTTTTGTTTTCCTGCGCCACGCCACTTGCCTTACGTGCCTCCTCCTTCTGTTGCGCCTTCCTTCCGAGGGCTTCTTTGAAGGTCAATTTCTTTGCCTTCGTTGCCTCTTTTATTACTTCCACCTTCGTAATGGTGGGGAGTGCTCTTACGCTCCGTTTACCCTTTTGGTTTTCGGGGATCCGCTCCATGACTCCTTGGCATCTCGTGATGAGATTTCCCAAGTTGTTTCGGACTTCTTGCGGGTCCCCTCGTACCACCTCTGCGATCGATACCCCCTCCATAACTCTTCTTACTTCCTCCATTACTCTATCGATCGCAGGTTCAGCCACTACTTTCCTCACCCCCTGCACCGTGGGACGTAAGACCGGTCGCAGTTGGCGTTGGTGGGCCTCTTTGGTCCCCATCTCCTTTTTAAGCCCTTTGTTTGGGGTTTTCCCTGAGCGGGTTGCCGGACCCTGGAACGTTGCTTCCCCGTCCATCGGCTCCCCTCCCGTTTCCTCCTCCCTGTGCGCGTCTGCCTGTTCTCGGCCCTTGCGCTCCAGCTGGCTGTTGAGGTCCTTGATCTGCTCCTCAAGATATCCAATCTTGAATCGGAGCTTCTCAACTTCCTCGGTTTCTGTCTCTTTCCTTCTCGTGGACGAAACTACCGTCGCCGCTGCCCGGAGGTTTTTGGCGCAGGCACGCAGCTCCTTCACAAAGGTTCCTTTCAGATTTTTTGATTTGTCCGCGACCTTGTCCACTACGTTGACGTTTGCCAACATATCGGCTGCTAATTGGGCAGCACTGAGTCCCTCTAACTGTTTTACAGTTTCCTTCTCCGGTGTTACGTCCCTGGGAAGGACTTTAGGGTCTAGGACCTCTCGAAGGGCTTTGGCTTCCGCCTTTAGTTTTTTGACGACCTTCTTATGTTCCAACCTCTTGCGGATTTCAACCCCTTCATATAACAAAGTGGTCGGGGGTCTTCCTCTCTTCCTCTTCCTCCCTGTCGGTCCCACCCATTTTTCCCAGTCCTCGCTTCCGCTCGATTCAGGGCCGGAGTCAGGGTCAGGGACAGGGAAAGGCTTATATGCCTTTTTGGTCGGAGCTTCCGCTCGTTGGTCATCCTCGTTGATCACGTTCCTGCCCTTGGCCTGGCGGCCGTCCACCTTGGGTCCCATGTTTACGAAGGCAGCAAGAGCAGGAGTACTTCCACCCGCTCCCGCAACCCTCGAGCCGCTCGCCTCCACTTTCCCTCCATCCTCTTTTTGTTTTTTGTGGAAATCCATATCGCATATATTTGACTCTTCCCGTTCGCCCATTATGGGACCCCCACCTCGGTGGGGGATCTATCCCG